AAAATCGCATAACAGCCGAGCATACACCCAGCAGCGCTGCTGATGCCTGAACGGTATGTGGAATGAAGTGGGCGGGCATCGGGAGGCCACTATGGCACGGGGCAAGCACTATGGGCAGTCTATCTGAAGTGTACCTGGCGTATAAGACGACCCCCCACTTGGAGGCATATTTTTCAGGGCCAAAAAATCGTCTTATACGCCGGCAAATACGGTAATTTTTTTGAGGGAAGTGTAACAATTGTGGGTAGAACGTTCCTTTTCCTTAGCCAGGTCCTAGTTATGTGACAGAGTTGACAGAACTCATCAGGGCAAAGTCTTCTCCTAAACACGGTGGAGTAGAAGATGCCACAGAGTTTGTGAGTTTCTTTCCAGACTTTATCTGGGTCGTACGGGATTTCATCCTGGAGCTGAAGTTAAATGGTCAGCCTATCACAGAAGATGAGTACCTGGAGAATTCCTTGAAGCTGATTCCAGGTAACCGGTTGGCTGGGCAGTGGATGGTCCAATACAGGGAAAGGGGGTGTATTAAACATTGTCTATTATCTCTAATATTTGCATTTGTATTTTAAGATTAGATCGAGCCCCATAGAATTGGTTTTTGGAACCTAGGTTGCTATTTGTTGGTAAGATCGAGTAACTACATAGTTAAGCTCACCCAAGAAGATGGGGGCTTAATGTAGAGTGAAAATTATTCAAAACTAAATATCACCCAAGATAATTTCTACCTTAACATTAAAATATAATGGATGCTAAAACTTTCCAAAGACCAGACACTTTTGTTCTTTATTATGCTTCTCCCTTTTTTTTGTTCATGAAAGCAATGATCTATATAATTCTTAGCCATCAAATCACACTGAAATACATATTTCACTCAGTTCTTACTTTTCTCAAGGAGAAATATAAATATCTAGTGCGAGAATAGATCTTGCACAAAATAATTTACAGCCTAAATAGACCTGATGATCTACTATCAATGCATATGTTTTCATTATATCTCTCACCATTTTTTTTAAAATTGGGGTATAATTGACATACTACATGGGTAGAATTTTTACCTGCATTATCCAAGTGCAGGGGGAATATAAACAACTAGAGGCCCGGTGCACAAAAATTTGTGCACTCGGGAGGGGGGTGTTCCTCAGCCCTGCCTGTGCCCTCTCACAGTCTGGGACCCCTCGGAAGATAACAACCTGCTGGCTTAGGCCTGCTCCCGGGTGTCAGAGGGCAGGCCCAATCCCTCGGTGGAGCTCCTGGTCCGA